CCCTGCCTTGTCCCCTAACTGCCCCCTCCTGAGACCCCCCCACCTGTACTCTGCCCAAAACCTTACACCCCAACCCCCAGACAGCCCCCTCCGAACTCCTGACCCATCCAACCCTCCCCCTGCTCCCTGTCTCTTGACTACCCCCCCCCCCAGAACCTCCCTGCCGCTTCTCTGACCCCCGGCCCCCTTACTGTGCTGCAGAGCAGCGTGCTCGACAGCGGGGGAGGGGAGCAGGGTTGGAGCTCCAGACTGCCGGAGGCCGAGGCGACGGCCGGCGATCTGTGAATGCAGGGCCGGGGGAGGGAGGGAGAGGAGGGGAGTGGTGTCAAGTTGCAGGAGAGAGGAGGGGGGAAGTGGAGGAAGGGCTTTGGCTGCCGGAGCCCCCTGCGAGTGGCACCATCCAGCCGGCTGCCCTGTAAGCCCCGCACGCTCTGCATGGGGGCGGGGGAAGTCCGGACATTGACAAATTGCCCCCGGACGCTATTTTTAACTGAAAAAAGCCGGACATGTCCGGGGGAATCCGGACGAATGGTAACCCTATCTGAGGGTTCTTTGCTTCCTATCTGTGTGAAAAGCTTTAGTTCTGCTGTGAAATGCTACCGTAAATTGGCTTGCAGTGCTCTCCCTCTTTGTGTAAATATTGATCTGCACCCTACTCTCTCAGCCTGATTTGGAAAGACTTGCTAGAGGATTTCAGCAGTAACCAGAAACTTTCTTAGGCTATGTCTACACTATGCAGCTTTTTGTTATACGGCTCTGCTGCTACAGCCGTGCTGCCAAAAGGCATGCAGTGTAGCCGCTGTTTGTCAGCAGGAGAGAGCTTTCCTGCCAACAAATACTTCCACCCTCAAAGAGCAGCGTTAGCATTGTCAGGAGGAGAGCGCTCCTGCCGACAACACTAACGTGGCTTGTTGTCATCGACAAAACTTTTGGCTTTCGGGGTTGTGTGTTTTTTTAACACTCTGAATGACAAAAGTTTTGTCTTTCACTTGCCAGTGTAGACAAAGCCTCAGCAACTAATCCTGACCCATAGCAAATCAGCCTTGATATTAATCAGCTTACCTAAACCTCTATAAACAATCTGCGATTGTTCAACATAGCCTCAAAAGGAATTATAATAACATTGAGTTTATGTCTTTTTTTTTTATCTTTGTGATCTATGAAGAAGTGCTGAGGGGCTTAAAGAAAAAGAAAAGGTGGGTGTTTTATGCTTTATTATTTTTAAACAGAAATGTCAAACTGGGCTCAATACAAGGGTAACAGTGAAATGTAATAGCCTGTGATAAACAGGAAGTCAGACTAGATGATCTAGTGGTCCCTATTGGCCTTAAACTAAGGATCTATGAAATCTTGGCCCAAGTTTTGCTGGAGGATTTCTTGGGTCATGTTTAATGTGAGCTTTCACATTGTAAATGTAGGGTGTTGAGTATTTAACAAAGACAGCCTTTGTCCTAAAAGTTCATTGGGCATTGGAGTTAAATGGGTGGTGACAAGAACAAAATGAAAAAACAAAGCAAAGATTTTTGGTCACTCTGTATAAGGCTGTGACTACACTAAGATTTGATGGACCCTTAATTCCCCCAAAGTGAAGCTCTATCTGTGGTAGCATTTGTGGCAGCTATTGTGTAGCCAGCATTCAGGTGTTTTTATCACCACCTCCTCTAAAACTGATTTGGATTAAGAACACCTGAGCCCTGTGAACACTACAGCTTCCAAAAGCACCGGTAGAGGAGTCACCATCTCAGAGAACCCCCTCAGTGCAAGACCCAGCATTACAGCACTCTGCCTCAGTTTCCCCACAACAATCTTCAGCCTACTCCATCCATAAAGGTGACTTGCTGCAGTGGCTCGGCCCTCCAGCTAATCCCATCCTTCCCAGTGAATCCAAGTCCAAAACACAGACTCTTGCCAGTCTCAAACTGGGCCAATCCAAGCAGCCTGTTTTTTCCCCTTCAATTCAGGCACTCTTCTGTCCATCCATTCAGCTCAGCTCTCACCCTGACCGGGCTCCTTTCCCTCTCTCCTCTCAGCTCCTCCTGGGTGGCTCCCTGCTTTTTCCTGAGCAGCTGCTCCCAGGCCTTCCTTTTTTGGAGTCTTCCACAGACCTTTGGCTCCCCTCCAGCCAGCTTCCCATTGCTGGGCTGCCTTCCTCACCTAGCACAGGTATAGCAGCACAGGTCTGACTGGTGGTAGTTATGCACACGTGTAACTTTAACTTTATCAGGGCCTCACTCCCTTGACTTCTGTGATGTCAAAATTTCACTAGTTCTCCATTTAGAGTTTTCCAGGGCAGACAAGACCTGAATTTTTAAAGCAAAAAGAAGCAGATTTATATTAAAAAAAAATCTTCCTCAAAAAGAAAGAAAACTCTCCACTTTTGTTCTTTTTCTCCTTTTACCTCCCACAAATACATAATGTTTATATAAAATACAGTTCTAAGTAGAGTGCTGGTGTTATGCCTTCTTAGCATAAATGAGCATTGAAATGTAATAGAAAATCTAACTGCTGCATCTAATTGCAAAGAGTAAATCAGTAACACATTTTCAAGCATCAGAATGGGTGGCTGTCATTTTAACAGTCAGATAAAGTAGGGCTTGTTAAAAAATTTCCTTTGAAACTGTTATTCAGTTTTTTGGCAAAAAACAAAACAAAACAAAACAAAAACCCTCATTTAGACTTTTGTCAAAAAAACAAAACCTTCTTTGTTTTCAGCTGAAATTTTTGGGGTTTCAGCTGAAATGACCGAAAATGGTCAGTTTTGGCCAAAAACGTTTCATTTTTTCCAAATTTTCTGAAAGGAAAACCCCCACTTTCGGATCCGCTCTAGTTAAGATACAGGAATTGCTGATTCCATCTGAATTCAGAAGGCAGGAAGCTTTCAAAGCGGCTGTAGAGCAAGTTCTGTCACTTTTTCTGGTTTTGGTTAATTACAGCATTGGAAGTCTCTGCCTTTCTCTTGCAGTCTCAATGCTAAGCTGCATTTTCTTTGTCTCAGTCTACTTCCCAGCAGGCCTGCCTCTGACTATGTATTAGTGAAGTGTCTACTCCCTGCTAAGAGAGACACCAGGCTCACTCGCAGCTAGGGTTGTATTAAAGCAGAGATTCTAAAATCTCGTTCGGAAAAACAAATCATGTTTTAATCTCCTTACTTGATACATCTTTCTTGAGTTGTTTACTGTAACTGATCTCTTGAGAGGTCTTCCTTTCCGGTGAGGCTCTGTGGATTTCTCACGTGATGTATTCAATGAGTATCCCTTGGCAGGGAGTTAATAATTTCTGTGCCCTCCATGTAGGACGGTAAATGCAATCATGCAAGGAGGTGGGTGGAGTGTAACAGTTGTCTCCCCGGTGTAACTCTTTTTGTGATTAGCGCTGGTGGAGCAACTGCAGCACGGTATGTCAGTGCCTCCTGCCAGGGCTGTCCTTAGGATTTATGGGGCCCTTCGCAGTATTATTAAACTGGTGCCCCTATGCCCGACGGCAGCCTGAGTTTGCAGCCCGGGTGGGAAGGGACAAAGCAGCAAGGATACCAAGCCGCCCAGCCCGCTTCACAGTGGTGGAGAGTCACAGTTCCCCGCAGAGACCCCCGGATCCTCTCCCTCGTGCAGAATGCCCGGTGCCGGCGCGTTTGGCTCTGTGACTACGGCCCCTGCCTAAGGAGACTGCAGTGTGTGCTGGGTGTGCGGGAGCCGACCCGCTCTTACCCACTGTCATGGGCAGTGGGTGAAACTGCCCCTTGGGGAGGCTAGCTCCCCAGCCCATCTCTTCTGCCTGTGGCCCCACCCATACTCCACCCCGGCTCTGCCCCAGGTTCCACCCCCCCACTCTGCCCAGGCCCTGCCGTCTCCCCACTGTCTCCCTGCTCTCCTTCCCACCCCTGCTTACCCCCTTCCAGCCAAATCCCTGAACCCAAATGAAGCAAATGACATTTGAAAAAAACACTCTTCTGCAATTTCTTTCTAAAGAAAATGGAGCATGTTTTCCACTGCATGCTAGATGGTGAAGACTGGACATGCAGAAGGTACCTAATTAAAAGCACTAAACTTGGGAATAAAAAATGTCAGTCATAAAGTTCATAAAGTAATCATTCCAGATTAAAATAATGTCCTTGTTTCAGTGAGTTAAATATGTAGTAAATTAATCAGTCACAGAGGTTTAGTGTGTTCATAACAATGTTCATTGCTTTTAGAAAAAGGGAACACTAATTTACTGTGTGTGATCTCCATATCAATAGACACGTTTATGAAATTTCACTAATTTTAAAAAAATATGTTTCCAAAGATTTTAGGCATAATAAAGGATTTTATATCTTACTAGGTACTGATTTTACTGGAGGGTTCTCTTAAAACTAGTTCATCTGATAGTCAGGAGGAAGTGGTTTCTCCAGCAGGAGAAAAATGTGGGTCCTATCGAGCAGTTTGCATCACCCTTCGCACTGCTATGACTGCTACACATTGGGTGGGTTTTTTAATATCCAGCCTCCCTTTTGGCACCTGCAACTGGCAAATCTGGTTGAAGTTGTTCAGTTGTCTGGGTTGCACACAGTCTATGGCAACCATTATCAAAATATCTGAGCACCTCCCTGTCTGTAAAGTATTGTTATGTTGGAGGCTCGAGAGTTTCTCTCATTCACCAATAGTAGTTAGTCCAGTCTTCTTATTGAATGCAGAGCTTGCCAAGTCAATCTGCGGCAGCCTCATCAGTGAAGTGCAGAGCCCTCAGACCACCATCACATCTGGTTAGAGGACAGTCCAGTAAAAGCTATTACCTCTCATCCATCACAGACCTGATTAAAGCAGATGGGTGTGTGAAGTGCTTTCATTAAATGGAAGGGACAATTAAATGGCCTTTTGTCTAGTGATAGCTGGAATAATGGAAACCACCGCTCAAGGCACTGCCCAGCATGGCAAGGCTCTGAGCAGCAGCTAAGCCACGGGGCCTGGCTGCAGCTCTGTGTGTGTCTGTGTTCATCAGAGGCAGAAAGCAAGGAGAAAGCCAAAAGCCAGCCAGCAAGAGAAGCAGTGGTGAGTGTGGCCCTGGTTGGAAGCCCAGAGACAGCTGCTTTTGGGCACAGTACTGGCTGGAAAGGCAGAGTTGGATTTCTGAACAAGGAAACTGTCTTCAATTGTTTGTTCCTGCTGTGGTCAGGGAAACAGGACTTTGTGCACATCCTTGGTGAACAGATAGGATTGTACAAAAGAATACCTGACTCTCTCATTCATTTCTCCTCCTAATGGAAATAACCAGCAAAGCTCCTGGCACTGGGGCTGGCTGGCCCCTGTAAATGAAGCAGGTCCAGGGCCCCTGCCCTGTGCCAGAATTGGAACTGCAGCTTGGGCAGACACACCTACACTAACTTTACCAGTACTAGCTCGGTGTAGTGTGGCAGAGTAGCGTCCCACTGACCCAGAGGGGGAGAAGCCACCGCTAATCCACTACACTCGACTAAAAATAGAATTGTAGATGTGGTAGCATGGGCTGGCCAAGCATGCTGGGGACCCTATGTGCGTACTTGTGTTGCTGAAGCCCATGCTACCAAATCTACATTGCTATTCTTAGCCATGTTAGCGTGGTGTGCCTACCCAAGCAGCAGTTGCACCTTGGATTGCAGTGTAGACATACCCTACATTGCTTTTCCATGCAATTATCAGCAGATCTTAGTGGCAAGAAGCGCACACCTCCAGATAAAGTAGATACAGGGATATGGAGGCTGTTAGTTGTATAGAAAGGTTTGTTACTTATCTCTGCTACCTTGTCAATTTAGTAACTTCTGCTTTCTCTATCCCAATCTCCAAAGCACTGCCCCTGAAAATGATGGAGTCTCACGTCAACACTGACATTGACATATGAGGATCCAGCAAACGCTATAGGTGAACATGTAAATTCAAGGTCAGACTAATGTGAGAACTGATCTGTGGGACAGACAGGCTTGTGTATGTGAGCATTGCAGGCTGTTGTATCCTTGCTTTGTGCTTGTCATGTTTTTCCACATAAGGTGCTAAGGTGCCTGGCTTCACAGAGGTTAATGATGACAAATCTGCCTCCATCTTGCTCTTTCATGGGCTGTTGCTTCCCAGTCACTGGGGTCAACCTGACATGATTTCAAGTTTGACTTCAGTGCATCTTTATATCGTTTGTGCCGTCCACTGTGAGAAGAGGAGCATCACGTTAGCTGACCATAAAATATGGCCTTGGGGATTCTCGAGTCTGCCATATGAAGGAGATGCCAGACCAACACAGCTGAGCTTTTATGAGCATGCTTTGAATGCCAAACATCCGACAACAATTAAGGATTTCAATATTGGGAGTCTTGTCTCACCATTTGACCCTGCAAACAGACTGAAGACAGTTCATTTGGAGCTGATCAAGTCTCCTCATGTGGTGATGATATTGTCCATGTCTCACAACCATATAGAAGCATTGTTAGCGCAGCTGCCTGACGGGCATTGAACTTGGTGCTTTTTTTGATGCCCTTTGTTCCGTTGGTGCTGTGACAGCATTCCAAATGCAGAGCCAGCCTTGGCTATGTGATGGGTAACCTCATCATCAGCTGTGGCATGCTGTAACCGGTATTCCCTAGCTAGCAAAATTTCTCCACAGACATCAGAGGAGTGGTGTTGATCTTTAATAACTGGGTAGAGATGTGCAGCCCCCAGCAAAGGCGCTATGCAGATACTTCCCTCAGCTATCTGGTGTCCCAAGAGATGCCAGCGTAGTGTTCTCATGCAGTCCGAGAGGAAGGCATCTGGGAGAGCAGGATCTTCCATAATAAAACAAAGGCTGTTGCCTGTTACACTTCCCAAAGCAAGCTGCCCTGGGATGCTTCTGCCTCAGTGCACTGATAGCTGAGTGTAAAGAGACTGTGGCCTGGAGCAGGGCTGGATTAACTACAGGCAAACTAGGCACATGCCTAGGGTCCAAATTCATGAGAGATCCCCAAAATCAGAGACCAGTGTCCTTCTCTTCCTCTGAGGCTGCTGTGTCTTTGCCTCGCCAAGGGGGCACCAATGCTGTAGCAGCATCCTCTGCGCTGGCACCACAACCCTAATCCCAGCCCAGTGTGGAGGGGAGGCTTGGGGGGTTGCAGAGCTAGCCTGTCCCATGCTTACATGGCAGTGACTGCTCCTGTCCCGCAGGGCTGGGACCAGCTCCCCACTCTGGGCATTGCGATCTGGTGCGCTGGGTCAAACCTGAGTGGCACTGCAACACTGTGCACCAGGTCGCTATGCCAGTGGAGCGAGGAGCCAGCCCCAGCCCTGTGGGCAGGAGCCACTGCTGCAGGGTGAGCGAGGGGTCGGCTAGCTCGCCAACCCCACCTCCTCACCCCATCTGGGCTCTCCCCATCGCACCAGCCCAGGAGAAATGTATGTTTGCCTCGGGCCCAGTGTGGGGTTAATCTGGCTCTGGCTGGGAGTCCTGCCATCATGTGGGGAAACAGGCAGCACTGTCAGGGAGTTGTTGGAAGGACTCAGAGACTCGGGGCCACTGAGCTACAGACAGGATAAGTGATTAGCCCCAGGGCTGTGTAGTGAGTCAGTGGCAGAGCTGAGGAGAGAACCAGGAGGTCTGACTACCACTTCTTTGAGCATTAGAGGTGCTGTTTTTACCTCCAAGTAACTAGTGCCAGTGCTTTTAGGGCCAGCTCCGTCTGCTGGGAACCCTCTGTCACTGAATGGAAGTGTTAGAGTTGAATGAAGCTAAATGAAGGCTCTTGTGCCCTAAGTGCAGGCCATGCTGGCATGGAGCTGGATGGCAAGTTTGCTAATCCAGCCCAGCTTTTTGCCAAATTTGCTTCTGCAAATGAAGGAGGTGACTGTGCAGGTGTAGGGACAGCGGCTGTGACTCCCAGCTGAGTATGGTTGTAAGGAATTACAAATAGTCCACAAACAGCAGAGTATGCAGCGCCAGTTACAGGCGCTGTAGTGAAACTAGACACCTTTCCAGCACACTTATCAAAGCGCCCGCGCTCCCCATTTCACGACAGGCAAATAACTATCAAGGGGAGAATGTTGGAAGGCAGGCTATTGTATTAACTGCTTTGCTACTGCCTCCCTCACTGGAGTCAATGAGCCAACCACCCCGCTGGTGCTGCCCCAAGAACTGTCTCCTGCCTCTGGAAGTGCACAATGTAGGGACTGAACACCCAAGATGCTGTCCTCTTCAACCACACTCAGCACAGAAGCTCTAGCAGATAGTGGCAATGAAGAGATTAAGTAGCGTGGCTCCCCTCCCCCTTTTCTGCTCAGACCCACTGGCTTTTGGCAACTCTTGCCAGCATTTGAAAACT